CTAAGTTGACAGTAGAAGTTAGCTGTGCTTCCTACTTCCCTTGGTTGTTTTGAGCTTCTCCTTGCAAAGGAACGTGGTTGCCTGGACTAATTTAGCTGACTTCATCCATGGTCTTCCAGATTTGTTCAGAGACTGCTCTGAACTTCTCCTGGAGAAAGGTATCTTCTAACTGAGGAAAGCTGGACTCCTGCTTCCTTTGGAAAACAAGATATTCTTCAAACTGGCCCTGCTCAAGTTGCGTGTTACTGATGTGTAAGTGCGCCCGTGAGACCTGCTTGGAGTAACCCTGACTGTGTCCCTGCTCTCGCAGAGTTAAAGCTATTGTGTTGTGTTTCATGGAGCTGCTGTTGTGTTCCTAGTGCTCTAAATGTGGGCTGTTGGCGTAGCTTGAGGCAGCTCTGGTTTGTTCCCCCAGCCCTGGGGATAACAGAGTTTGTCCTCTTTGTGTATGCCATTTCTGAAAAGTACAATGGAAGTAGTGGACTTCACTAGACGGAGAGAGAAGAACTGCTAGGCAGGTTGTGCACACTTGCCTATTTCTGTCTATGTAACACTAGGTCCTTTTTCATCATCTAACCTTTGGTCCTTTACAGAAGAAACATTACACTAACAACGGATGAAAGGACAGAGAGACTTGGATAAGGAAAGTACATTGTTTAGTGTCCCAGGCAGGTTGAAGCATGAGTTGCAAATGCAGTTCTCATGTCCCAAAGCCTGACTGTGTGCTACGCCCCACTGCACTGCAAGGTTGAAGTTTCTTGTAATGGCAGAATATGGTCTTGGAAAAACTGGCTGCAAAGATTTTATTTGTTTAAACAAAGGCTTTGTGATTCCAGAATTCTCTCCCCTTTCATATGCTATAAACCACCTCCTCCGCCTCCCCTCTGAAATATGAATTTTGGAGTAATCCATCAAGAAAAAGACAGACAGAGCCTTGATCCCTTGACTTCAGTTGAGCTGTGCAATTTATATCTACTGAGCATCTGGCTGCAGGGAAACCAACAGCCCTTTTAATATTCTGCAGAGACTCTGGGTATACAAATGAGCGTGGGCTGTCAGAGCTGAGAAATGGGGCAGAGATGCCAAGAGGTTTCTTTGCCGTTTTGCACAAAACTCTGACCTGTGGCCGCATGGTGACGTTGGCTTGGGGTTGGGTTTTTTTACTGCCCTCAGTGCCGCTGCAGTAACTGTGCTGGCATCATTAGAGCCCCCTTGCTATAAAGCTGTTATCATGCCTTGCTTGTTATCTCAAGTCAAGTGAGGACTTTGAGGGCTTTCACCCTTGAGCAGCTGAAGTGTGCAGCTATTTAATGATGAAGTTATGCAAATGCTGCAATGTGGGAATGCCAAGCTAGCAAGGCACCTGAAGTCAGGCATTCCCACTGGTAGTCACTGCTTGTAGGAGTGGATCCAGAGTGGAAGCTGCAGGCTTAGCGCCAAGTGCAAAGCTGCAACGTTGGAGGCGCTGGCTCGGCCTTTACTCAAAGAGGGGTCATAGGTGGCAATCTTTGGATCAGGGTTAAGTGGGTCACAGAGTACATGACTTGTTATTTTACAGCACATGGAGTCCACCACATCTCTGATATGGTAGACTTTTCTTTTCCTGCAGTTGCATTGCTTTACCTGTGCAGCTGGAGAGGGGGAATAGGAGGGTGGGAAGGGAGAGGTGTGCTAGGACAGTAACAGAGACATCGTGGAGACAGACTGGGTATCATGCAATATGCTGGTACAGGCTCATGTTCATTATCTCAATTATCCTCCCTGCTGGAATATTTCTAAAACAAATCCTACCATGTGTTTTGAGGTTGGGCTTCACAGAATGAAATCACAACTCCTTTCTTGGAGTTTAGCTACAAAAATACAAATCTGCCAACTAGGGAAATAAACTGTGGTTCTGTGTAGCAACAAGTGATGGATTTCTGCAGATATGAAGAGTGTCTGCTCTGGAGTTCTAGGTCAGAGAGTATGTGTATTTGTCCCAGTGTTCTATTCGTTGCATGTGGAATAATGATGTGAGAATCTCAAGCTTGTTTAATAAACTGCTTTCACCCTGTTCAGAAAATTCAGCTTCACAGTTTCAGGTCTTGAAACCTCCAGCTATCAGGATTAGATACTATTTAGTAGTCAGGGAAGATATTTATTGGCTTGTTTTGTCACCACCATTGTGAGGCTTTCTGCAAGGACAGATACCAATCCCAGCCTTCAAAGCAGCCTGATCCCCAGTGTGTTGTGAGCAAGCTTTGAATGCAGTTTCTGTAGCTGCAGTACTGAGCGTTCATCTCTGTTTGAAGGCATGGTCCAGCTGCTGGTTAGCCGTCCAAGCAATGTCACAAGGATTTGTTGGCAGGAGGCTTGCCTTAGCAAGAAGATCTTTTTTTCATTAGGATGTCTACTTGCTGGATTAGTTAAATGTGTTTTGGGTCCAGGCTAAGTACCTTGGGTGTGGATCTGGGTTTCCAGGTATTTCAGAGAGGAAAGGATGGAGTTCAAATCCAACTTGAGCTTAAGCAGTTCTCTTTCTGACCTGGGCTGTGTTTTCCGTATGTTTCAGCAGGCATCACTGACATGAAGATGATATTGGTACAAATCTCACCATCCAGTGGCACTGCTGCTTCCTCCCCCCTTATGTCATTTTGTTCATTCAGATCAAGTGCTGCAAATGCACCTGAAAGGGCTCTTCAAGAGCTATTTAGGAACAGAGAGCTGCTGGACTATGTTGTTCCTACACTGTCTGGCAGAGACAAGAGTATCCTCCCCAGGATGCAGGTTGATTCACCCCTGGGTAGTATGAGCCCTTTTTTATGAGCTGAGCTCTCCAGAGAGGGCTTAAATGATCAATCCATCACAAGTTACGCACAGAGATGGTTTTCAGACAAGTCAAGTCAGTCTCTCTAAACCTATGGGAGTTATTAATATGTGCAAGCCAGCAGAAGGGAGAATGGGACCCCATATTTTATTTGCTCTGTAACACATCTGGTACTCCTTCTGGCTCTTGGGACCACTGGATTTATACAGCCTTATCTTTCTACGAGGATGAGCAAGATCAAAAGCATGAAGTGGGTTACATGCAGGATGTAATTCCCTGTTTTACACACTACAAGCAGATCTAGACCAAACAAGCCTCACCCATTTCCTTCCCTGTGGGACAATGCACTTATGGCACTTGCTCACTTCATGAGCCAATTAAAGCCAAAAAATATTGCCCAAGATATCTTGTAGAGAGCAAAAATAAATGTTATTTCCTGTTGGATAAAAGAAAGTCAATGTCAGTATTGACCTGTAAGGAAACCCCTCAATCTAAGTGCTCCTGAACCATCAGATGCTCTGTCTGCAAAATGTTGGGTATCAAGAGGTGGAAACTCTATGTCTAGCTCCTTTGGGAAGCCACACAGCTCCTCATAGAGGGTCAGTGAGAGAATTTTTTGGGAAGGTTTATGCAGTGGGTGATTGGTTGCTGTTAGCACTTAAGCAATCTTCTTAGACTGTAAATCACTAACGTGGAACAGCCAAGCTTCCTGGCCCTCCGAGCCAATGTGCTAAACTCTTTGCATGGCTGAGAGCCATCACTACATACCACGAGCCTCATAAAACTGGGAAGTATTTGTGGGTGAAGCCTGGAGAGATTCCTTGGGGCTCCTTGTGCAAAAGGAGACAAAGCTTGTTAGGGGGAACAACTAAGTCCTAGGATTCAGGGTGATGTTTGGTCAGGTCAAAACCCATGTTCACCTATTCCTATTCATAGGTAGGCACTGAGTTTACTCATCATCCCCTGCATTGCTACAACCTCAGCCTGAGCTACACCTGAATGGTCTATTAAGGGGCTTAAGAATTACAAGTCAGCATCCCCAGCACTTTGGAAATACCAGGGTTAAATACCTTTTCTGTGGTCAATGAAAACTGGCCCTGGCCCTTAAGGAGCCCAGAAACACACACACAGATGTATTTCTCCTCTGTGGCACATGAGATGGCAGTGATTCATCACCTGACTATGGATGGTTTACTCTCTGAAACATTTCATGCTGCAAGTCGTTTTCCCTTTTTTGAATCCTCTGTGCTTGAGAAGTCATGGTACTTGAGTGTCCAGCCTGGAAAGCTGCTCTGAGAGCTGGGAACAGGCAGTTCAACACTCCTGCAAAGTGCTGGGAAAGTGCCTTGTTGATTAAATCTTTATTCAGGGCTTCATCATCCCTCACTTGCTTTAAAATTGCTGAAATGCAAACAGAGGCAGAGCAGCAGGCCTTCTGCTTAGAGAAGTGATGGTCTTTGGATCAAGCAATCGTTTTAAACTGCACTCAGAACCCGTTATGTTAATGTTTGTTCTTGCTAAGGCACCCTGTCAAGACCCCTTTGGTGGTTGCTGCCTAACTGTTACTTCTATGCAGCAAAGTGAGATGGAAACCACTTCATGCTGCAGCTCCGGTCTGCATAAGCCCTGGGGTCTGTCTTAGATTTTGTTGCTGTCACTGAGACAGATGATTTGTTGTGGGAATGGTAACAGGGCCTGGGAGCGCAGGGATGGAGCAGGACTCCACAGAGACAGGCATTTTGTATATTCATTGCTTTCCTTCGTGTTTGATCACAATGTAGTGTAGGAGAGGATGCAGCACAGAGCTAAATGGAGTAGTGGTTGTGCAGCCTCGCGTCCTGTGAGGTGGGAGCATGTGCCGCACCAGCTTACACCAGTAGCAGTGTCTCTGCTGGTGACAACAGGTAATGCTGGTTGGCACCATGACAACTAATGTTTTATTTCATCTGCCTTCTACCTATAAGGAGCTAGGTTCCACACTCTGCCCCACTAAATATCCCCGCACAAGGTTCATGTAATGCGGCTATGGCTGCTTACCTGTGCAGTGGATTTGAATACTCATTTCTATCCCATAACTGATCTTGAATCCTGCGTGCCTTAGATCACACAGGGATCAGGGTCCGCAGGCTGAAAGCCATGGGGTAAAATACAAGGTCTGTAGGAATTTTACATTGGTTTGTTTTGCTCTTTCCAGAATGCATGAACTGCACGAGACTAGCAGATATGACCGAGAGGCTAAACACGCTCGAGGCCAAGGTAAGGACCTGCCTTTATTCTTCTGTTGGGCAAAAATCTCTGTGTTGCTGGTGAAAAAGATGGGTAGTTGGCAGCCCTGCAGAGATCTGGTGTCTGTCCTTCCATGCAGAGCGAGGAACACGCTGTGGTGGTGGCTCTGTACCAGGAACCCTTCTGCTGTGCACACAGGCATTGCTCACCTCTAACCTGGCTCCTTCCACTTCCCATGCAGCTGCATCTCTGCCTCCTTTCTTCTCTCTGGCTGCTCAGCTCAGCTCCTCCCAGATAATGCTCAGAGCTCAGAAATAACATGCCCTATGTTGCCATTATTCCCATTGCTGTGCTTGCCTGCTACAAGCCCCTTATGATGGGCTCACTGGCTCCCATGTAGTGCTGTGTTGGGGCTATGCTCACCACTGTCACAAGCGTGCAGCTGCTACTAAACAATAAATAGCTCATTGCTCTCAACTGGGACATGTTAGCTCAGGTTTTGCTTCAGAGACAGAGGGCAGAGAGAGCTGTATGAAAAATATCTTGCCTTCTTGCTGGTTGATAACATGGGGATATAAAGCAGTGACTGCCCTGGCTTGGGGAAGAAGCAGTCTGATTCTTGTCTCTCTCACTAAAAATTCCTCGTAGCAACCTTACCAGTGTAGACTGTAACACAGAGGAGTAAGGGTACGTAGATTTTTGTAAGAACAGTTGCTTATTAGCCTGCTCTTCAAGTGCTTATCCAGTCCTGCTTTTTTATCCCTCTGCTGAAAGATGGGAGGCTTTCACGCACAGCTTAGTGGAGACAAGTGTTAAGGGGAGACCTTCACGTTGTGGGTTTTTTTTTCCCTGCAAATTGTTTTAATTTCTACCTACTGGGATTCAGATAAATTGTTCCAGTCCAGCAACAAAGCAGCTGAGTCAGTCATTCCCCTTTGATCTGTGGTCCCTCCTGTGACAGCCCAATCCTGGCTGTTAGATATACTGCATTGGTTCCTTTAAGGCATGTGCTGCTGTTATTATTCATTAACTGATGGTTATCAGTGACATAAAAGAATTTGGGGAGAAACCTTTGGGATGGAGGGGGGGGTGGTTTTGAGGCCAGTGCATGATATTATGGTAATTTGGGAATTGTCTGTGCTGAAATGGAGTGAGCAATGTTGTCTGGAACTTCCTCAAAGCCTTCACAGTTATATTTCACTACGGGAAAAGGAAGGGGTGGGGGGAGTGAAGTTCTGGGGAGCAGAATTGTTCAAGTGAAAACAACTGTTGTAGTGCAAAGGACAAAGATGAGCTGGATTGTTTTTCTGAGCACTGGGACCTGGCAGGTTGGTGTCTTTTGGCAGCGAGGAGCTGGAGGCGTTTGGAGAGGAGACAGGGCCTGGTGACTGACCTCTGCGTGTGCAGTCCTGAATCCAAGACAGACATGAGACCAGCCTCAGAGAGATGTAAATCAGCCCTCCCATGCTCAGCTGTACCTTCCTTCACTTTCCAGGATTTTCTATATCTGGCTCACTGGAAAATGATAGCCAAAGAGTGTCCTGACACGAGAACGCCCAAGTTCTGTGGCTTGTGCTGCTCAGCACTTGTGTCAGGCAACAGTGTTTGAGAAGCTGATGGCAGCCTCAGCCAGGGCTGTGGTGGGGCTTCATGGAAGAGGAAGGAGGTCCTGTCTGTATACTAGAGAAGTCTTAGCCCAGAGTGAAACTGCACTGAGGTCAATGGGTTTGTCTTACAGATAGGAAGCTGGTTTAAATCGGGTGATGCTCCCATGACCTGAAAGCAACCTGCTCCCTGATGTTGGCATCAGCTGCTTATGGTATTTGGGGATTGCTGACCACTTGCCTTTGCGGCACATTGTCTCCTACTCTAACCTAGGACACTTGTTGTGCAGCAAAGCTCATCAAAGGGTTTACTTTTACAGAGGGGAATGAATTACTTCTCTAGTGAAGTACTAAAGGCTGTGTCTCTGTAAGGGTGCCTTCTGCAGCCCAGCAGTGTCATTATCAATCTTGTGGCTTCCACTTTGTTTGAAAAGTTGTGGATGCTGTGCAAAAATTGACTGTAGCAATTAAATGGAAAGTGAAGAAACATCACACAGCTGGTGCTGTACACAAGAAATCCACTGATTCTTTTTCAGGGTTAAGTTCAGTTCGATCTGTGTAGCCATGACCTCAGTTGTTACTCAGTAATAGCCAGCACCATTTAAAAGGTTCTTGCGTTTGTTTAGTATTGTCTGCATTCCTACTCTAGATTTTGGGGGAAGATCCCTATTTTGCTGGGTGATCTGGATATGAAGCTGTCTCTCAGTTCTCCAAACTGTCTTCTTGTAATGTCTCAGTTCATCACAACAGCCTGAAGCTGTTCAGAGGAAGGCAGGAGTGATTGGATGGGCACACACATCCCTTGCCAGTGTTGGAGACTGGCTCCCCTCTAAATTCGCTGTCATCTTGTGCAAAGGCAGATGCGGAAGTTCATCCTTCCTATGAGCAGAGACAGAGTTTTCTGGCACGGTCCCACTCCTTCTAGAGACAGCTGAAGTTGAGGAGTTTTGCTGCCCCTGCTCTCTTGAATTTCAGCCCAACATGACCATGGTGAGCTTGGGGAATGGCAGTGGGTAAGATCAGCCAGCTCAGCATAGCCAGTCAGCTTCAGGCAGGTGAGGTCATTGGCACTTGCCATAAGGGCTTTGAGGCACGTGGACCTTGGACAGACTTGTAAATACTGCAAGGCTTAAGGGTGAGAGCAGATGTGTGGAAAGCTGCCTCTGAAGGCACCTTGAACCTGGGTAGGTAGGTGCTGGGTGAGGGGGTTTGCTTTAATAGAGCAGGCTAGGGACAAGTGAAAACCAATCTCTTTCTGAGACCTCTGCAATAGGGACAAGGGGCCCAGAGCTTTTCTTGGTTATGAGTTGAGGGTATGTAAAATGCATGTGTGTCCTCCAGTGGCTGTAAAGCGCAAGTTAAAGAAATGTAGACTCACTTGTGGAAGAAGAGGCTGGAAGGGTGATTTCTTCCTTCTGTACCTCCTCTTCTGCAGGCTTTTATAGGTGTCCCCCCCAAAAATGGGGATCTAACCAGAAATGGTCTCATCTTTCTTACTACAAGGATGAGGTGGTTCATCCAACTTGTAAGATCAGTGTCCAAATGAGGTAATAAAAGTAACCCTCTGATTTTTGTAATATGAGAGTTGGATCAGAAAGCAGGAGGCAAGAATAAACACAGAGCAAGTGGAATGAAAACTGACTCATTAGGGACCAGTGCTTGTATAGCCCTTGGAGAGGAGAGACTGAGACATGGCTGAACTGTGCAGCAGAACAAACTCTCCACGTGTCTTGTGCTTGCTTTAACACTGCTCTAGGTTGTCCTTGTGGCTGTAGGAGATCTTTCTGCAGGAAAGGAGGTGAAGGGAGATGGAATCAGGTTCCATCCTCATCTCCCCTGTTTCAAGTTACCCTGTCATCTCCCCAGGGTGGAGTTGGCCTGTTCCATTTGCTGGATACCAGACCCATTTGGGTGCCAGAGATTTGAAAGCTTTGACTGATGGTTTTGAGCTTGAAATCTCCAGGCCATGGGAATCTACATTAGAGAGGATTGTGTTGACCCTGGGGTCAAGGGCAAGAAAGTGTGCAGCCCAGAAGAAACTACCCCTTCCCCTGGCCCCAACACACCAAACCTTACTTCTTTGATGAGCATCTTACTTGGCATTGACATCACTACAGCACTCGCTGACGCTGCAGGGAGCCCTAGTGTTGGGAGGGCAGAATGAACCCTGCTTTCATTTCATGTCAAGCTTTCTCCTTGGGCCAGCACAACCCTTCCTTTCTGAATTTCCTGAGCCTGCTGCTGCCCTCCTGTGTCACAGGACTGATCCCAGACAAACTCAGGAGAGCTGCAGTGTCAGAGAGCTGCTGCTGCAGCAGGAAAGCAGGCACCCACATGGAAATGCCTTCTTATTGTAACAAACTCCACCACGGAGCTACGGGCAGTGCAGTATTAATCCCAGCTTTTGGTTGGGGCTTGAGTGTGAAGCATTTGATCTGAGTTGATATAACCCAGTCTTATCTCTTGCCACCACTTTTGAGAAGTTTATGGCATCTCACTTCCAGCTTTAAGGCAGGGAGATAACATTACATATCTAGTGTCTGATGGATTCATTGTGTGATTGATAAATGACATGCATATTTTTTGCATGAAAACAGCCCTTGTAATGCGATTCCCCACACAGAAGATTCTGAAAGGTTTTAAAGAAAATCTTTGTACTGTGCACAGAGTTTGATCAATACATTGCTATTTATATGAAATCACCCCATTTGTTTAGGACAGATTGCCCCACAGCACCTTCACCCTGTACTTTTTCATTCTGAAGCACCAGGGCTTGGAGTTTTAATGTAATCACTATCTGAAATGTTCCTCTGTCTTCCCCTTCTTCCAAGCAGCTCCATGAGATACTGGCAGCTGTCGAGGATGTTTTATGGGGTTTGTATTTTCTTTCTCTGGTAGACAATAAGAGAATTCCCTGCTGGAGTGGGAAATTATTTGGAAAAGAGAAAATGTTTCATGGTACTGTGACATGGCTGAGGGATGGGGGGGAAACCCCCATTGCTTGGCTGAGAGGCTGCTGCTGGTCCTGCCGAGTGGACCTTAGCAGTTGCTTGGTATTTCAAGGACTTTGACAGATTTTCCATGGTGTGCATGTGATTGCCACTAGCAGTTACCTGTTTCTTTTCTGTTCTGAACAGGAAGGTGACCTGTCCAATCTCTAAGGCTTCCTAATGACCCTGTGCAGAATCTGCTTCTCCAGCCCCAGTAATGCGTTCAGTTTAAGGGGTATTTGGGCTATTTCACAGGCAGCTCTATAATAACTGGTTTCTAGTAGCAATAACAACTTAAGCCCTGTAAAATTTAGTTTAATACTGAGTTTCTGTAGGTCAGTTAATAGAACAGATGTTCCCAAGAATAAAATGCAGCTTTCTACCTGATTTTTACAAGGGGGATCCATGAACCGATAGCATATGGTCAAATCAGATT